GTGGTTGTATTTAAATCCCTAAATTTTTTCTGAAATTTGATGGTGATGGTGGTGGTGGGGGCGGAGGCGGATGTGGTGGTGTAAACCCAACAACCAACCGCCTAAACATTATTTTATTAGGCACAAAGTCGTAAATGAACGTGAATGAGGGGGGGGGAGGGACTAGATCGAAATCTTCTAGAAAAAGGAACAATCAATCATCACCATTGTTTCCTTTGAAACAAACGTATATACAAATAATTTAAAAGGAAAATAAGTAATTTTTTAAAAATCCAGGGAGTTCCTTAAGGAAGAAAAAAAAAAAATTAAACATTAAAAAACATCACGTCGAAATGTACGTCACCGTCGTCAAATTATTATTAATAATAATAATAATAATAATAATAATAATAATAATACTGCGTTATAAATAATAAATTGAAATTAAAACGTGTATTTACTCTTACGGGTGTAAAAAAAAAAAAACACGTGATCCCCGTGACGTCATCTAAAAATATAAATCTCTCGCCATTAACGGTTTTTTTTTTCTTACTACTCAAATTATTCATCAAAATGCAAGGTTTTTTTCTATTTAATTATTATTAAATTAATTAAATTTGACCGTGTCAAACAAACAAACAAACAAACAAACGAACAAACAAAAAAGAATCAAGTGAGGGGAAAAAAGAGAAAAAAAAGAGAAAAAAAAGAAAATGAAGAGTTTAAAAAAAATTTTTTTTTTTTTTTTTACCATCATCCCATTAAAAAAAAAAAAAAAAAAATATTTACAAATATATAAAAAATTTTTAATCACAATTAGCAAGCCTAAAAAAAATTCCAATTCGAATATTATTATTATTAAAAAAAAGAAAGAAAACCCAATCAATCAATAAATCATATTTTCATATTAATTTAATTAATTACATTTTTTTAAAATTATCCATAATACCTATATAAGAGGCAATAATGATGATAATCATCATTATTATCATCATTATTATTAATAGTTTTTTTCTCATTTGAAAAACATCACAGATGGTAGAAAAATTTATGTATATATAAATATTTACATCCGAAAAATTGAAAATTTATAATTAAAAAAAAAAAAAAAATTATTTAAATTCAAACAAAATTGACTGTGAAAAAATTTCTTTTCTTTTTCTTTCTTTTATCAACGATTAATTATTATTATTCCCTTTTCTCTCTTTCTCCCCCTCCCCCATTCCCTATATGTATTTTTACCAATCAATCAATCAATCAATCAAACAAACAAACAAACAACCAACCACCACCAAACGTTTAAAAATTTTAATCCCTTCCCGCCAAAATAAAAAAGAAATCCAGTTGTTTCCCCCCCCCACCACTCCCCAAATCGATTTCAAATCGGTTGTTGGTTGTTGTTGTTATTTCTTTCACATTAAGGTAGAATTTAAATAAAAATTTTTTAAGAACAGATCAAACAAAACAAAGACAAAAAAAAAAAAAAAAAAATCTCATAAAACAAACAAACAAACATACTGGGTATTAATCAATTGACTATATATATATATATATATATATATATATATATATATATATATATATATATATATATATATATATATATATATATATATATCAAACAACATCAATCATCATTGTTTACCAAAAAAAAAAAAAAAAAGAAAATAATAATAATAATAATAATAATAATAATAATAATAATAATAATGATAATGATACTGATAATAATAATAATAATAATAATAAACTATGCCGAGAGAATGAGAAAAAAAAAAAAAAAAAAAATTCTTTGGTGAGATTTTTTTTTTTTGTGCTAAAATTTTGCGTCGTAAAAAAATCATTCGGTTATTACATCGATCGATCGACCGATCGATTAATCGATCAATCGATCCATCGATCCATCGATTTCATATATAACTAATAATTATTATATATACAAACGTATTTATTTAAGAAGAAAGTACGATAAAGGTATAATTTTTTATAGAGACAAAATATGCAACATTCGCGTTTGCGCGTATACGACGATGCTTTCTTTCCCCTTTTTAAATTTTTTTAAAAAAATATTTTATAAAAAAAAAAAAGAATTAATTAATTAATTAACTAATTAATTAATTAAATAATTATCTAATTATATTACCTATGTTGTAAAGCTATCATTATTATTATTATTACATTTAAAAAAAAAAAAAAAAGTCTAAAATTTTTTAAAATTTTACTTTTACTTTTACTATTTATTAAAAAAATGTTATCATTATTATTATTATTATTTCATTTTAAAAATATTTTTAAAAAATGACTAAAAAATCTATAAATTAATTAATTAATTAATTAATTATCATTATTATCATTTTAACTAACGGGTTAAAAAAAAAAAAAAAGCTTTAAAGGCAGTAGCGAGAGGGCATACAAAAAAAAAAAAATTTCGACTCGCTTTTTTTTTTTTTTTAAATGATTTTAATAACCGTCGGAAAATTCGAGGAGGCGCTTTTCCAGGGAGATAAGTTGGGGGGGGGGGAAGATGGGAGATGGGGGAGTGGT